ATGGTTAAGTCTTGAGACTTGTGCGTAGTGGCTACGTAATAGTGTGTACACATTTACATGCTAATGTGAAGGTGTCTTAAGCACTGATCACACATTCTCAAAAGGTCACATTCATAATCTTATGATAAAGGCTATAGTCAATTCTCTCATTTCTGTGCAGAGACAGACTAAACACAAGAGGCCAAACATACTTTATCTCCAGAAGGAATGGGTAGATGTCGGTTCTGTTCACCTACCTTCATTCATTCATTTAACTAATAAATATTTTGTATTCGTCAGCCGGGCATGAGAAGATGGATAAAGTAGAGGCTTTTTAAAAAAACAGTTTTGCTTTTGTTGCCCATGCTGGAGTGCAATGGTGCAATCTCAGCTTACTGCAATTTCTGCCTCTCCAGTTTAAGCAATTCTCCTGTCTCAGTCTCCCGAGTAGGTGGGATTACAGGCACATGCCACGATGCCTGGCTAATTTTGTATTTTTAGTAGAGATGGGGTTTCATCATATTGGTCGGGCTGGTCTCAAACTCCTGACTTCAGGTGATCTGCCCACCTCGGCCTCCCAAAGTGTTGGGATTACAGGTGTTAGCCACCATGCCTGGCCAAGCAGAGTTTTAATGAAAGGGGAAATGTATTAAAAATGGGACCAAAGATTACTTCTGTGTCTCTAGTTGGCAATACTTCCATCTCAGAAGAAACTCTGCTTCTCACCAGTCTTTTGAAAGGTACTCATTTGCCTGGGTCTTTATGGGCTGCAACTGGATGACTAAGGGTGCCTTCGATGCCTTCAAAAGTAATTTTCCTTCAAGATTATGTTCTTTTAATGGAGATAGGCTGGACGTTGAATCAGTAGGTTTCTGCACAGATTATTATGAGAACAGGAGCTAAATCCTTAGAGAAGAGATTTTCAGGATGTAGAAAAATCAGTGTTTCATTAGACTATTCAAGGGCTGCAAGGGTGATATTTGAAAGTTGAAAAGAAAAATGCAAATAACTAATAACTTCAGGTTGGCTCATTACAGACTGAAGTTTCTCAGAAATAATCTCCTTACCACCAATCTGTCAGTGCCTCTCGTTCTGGTTTTATACCTCCAAGTCTTCTACCTTCTCACCTGTTATCTTGATCAATCAGTGTTTCTGTTCTACATGGCCAGGCACCTCACAGCCTCTTCTCCAGTTTCTGGATGATGCTCTCTCATTGAGGCCTAGATTTCCTCAGGCAGGATGGTCAAGAACTGCTCCAGCACCAGAAACTTCAGAATCTCCCTGTTGTGGTACTCTGGCTGTACTTTCTGTTGGTAAATTCCCCAGAGATGCCTGAGAGTCACTCAAGGCCCAGGGGAATCCTGGTAGCAGAGGTGCCTGAAGTGTCATCTGCAGATTGCATGATATGAAAGGCTATTTCCTGGAAGTCTGTGTTCCCGATTCCATGTCTAATGACTAGTGTGAACCAGGAGCAGGCAGTAAGAATTTTGTAATAAGAAAGGACAGAAAATAGGCTGGGCAAGCCGCCATGTTAAAGAAGTACACACGACCATTTTTTTCCACTTTGACTTGCATAGCTGTTTTCTGTACCTCAGGGACGTACCATGGCCACAGCTAGGACTTCTCTTGTTCTTCAGATAGTTTGAGCCTTAAAAATTTGTAGCAGGTTCACTCTGCCTATAATTTGCGATTCAGGAAGATTACCATTCAGCATCTTACCTTCAGGAGTAGACCTAATTTTTTTAAAAAAATAAAATTATATACATGTATATATACATGTATCCTATATGTAAATACACATACATGCATACAACAAGGGATTAATATCTAAAATATAACAAATTTCTACCCTCTGATAAGAAAAAGTTAAAATGTCCAGCAGAAAACCAGACAAAAACACCAAGAAAACATTGCAAAAGCTAAATGACTACAAAAGGATTGAAGGACTGAACAGGCTCTGCAATGAGAGATGATAATAATACAAGAGTAGATAGAAATGTAAAGAGAAGTAAAAACCTTGTAATTCTGAATTAGAAATAAAAACAAATAGGTATACACAGATAGATATCACCTAGATCTTCCTATTGAAAAGGCTTGGAAACAATAATCAGCTAAGCAGTGAGCCTTTCCTAGCACCCAATTTGTCATCTTGAAATTTCAATTCCTCCAAAAGAACTCAGGATTCCTGGGAGAAGGGGCCGAATCCAGATCGGAGACCAGAAATGCATGGCATGAGCCTGAAACATCTTGCCATACCATAAAGCAAGCGTCTTGAGTCAGAAGTATTCAGTTGCCCGAAGACCTTCCCACTTGAAGATAGGAAAATTTGAGCACCAGTAAAGATAATGACAGTGAGTTGAAATACTTTAAGTATGTTTATATGCATAAGTCTGTAATTATTCTTAAAAACACACATAAAAATTGGTCACATTGGAGAATGCTAGGGAACCAAGTATTTTGAAAACAGATAAATAAAGAGAAGCATTTATCCTGCCATTTCCATATAAGCTGTACCACTTGGTAGCCACGTAGGGCACTGAAAATCCTTCTTGTTACTGCCAGTGAGGCCAAATGCAGGAAGTAGTGGTATCAGCTACTACACACTTTGGACCAGATCAGTGAAACAGAATGTGGAAAAGATGAAGAAGAAGAAGAAAAAAAACAAAAAACCAGAAACATTCCCACATTCTCCCTTCAATTTTCCTTACTACAGGCATGCCCGTTTGGGCCCTTTTTACTTTCCTGTCTCTCCCCTACTCCTCTCTTATTCATTTGGGATGTCCCTCATTCCCTTAATGTTCCTCCTTTACCCTTTTGTCCTCTCTTTTGTGGCTTTTTTCCTGTCAGCTTTACTTTATTTTTCTGAGTAGATGAGAGAGAAAGGGACTGTCTGAACACTGGGGTTGGAGTCACAGATGGACCATGCCAAGCTTCAGTGTTGAAAGTAAGTGTGGCATGCCATAGCACCTTAGCTGAAACCTTGTTCCTGTGGCCCAAGCAGTTCAGAGAGCCCAAGAATGGTCTGGGGGTGTGGACTGGCAGGTCTGCATGGCATTCATAAACATGCAACAAACAGCCCCTTTCCCTTCACCCTGTGAGCTCGTGCAAGGGGAACTGAAGCTCTATAGAAGTAGCTTTTTCCTAACGTAAACATTTATGGTCCTGTTTGGACTGTCTGGGTAAAGACTTGGCTGTATTTGCCTATTCCAGAGCAGAGGACACAGCCTCGCTCTACAAACTTACCTCAACCCACCTGCCCATTGCACTTCACAGGCATCTCAGTCCTCTCAGGGTGGGACAGGCAGTGGGTCAGTGAGGGAGCACAGGTTTAGGGACTATGTACTGATGTAGAGGTTGCAAGTGGAAAGATGGAAAGTAAGCTACTATTTACTTGATGCCTCTAGCATATTAAAAGGACCATACTAATCCTCAGGGTAGTCCAGGACCTTGATACTCAAAGTGCACTCCATGAATCAGCAGCATATGAGGCATCTCGGAGTGCAGTGCTCATTTAAAATGCCGATTCCTGGGCCCCTTCTGACCTTTTACATTAGGAATCTGCATCTTAACAAGATCTCAAGTGATTTGTAGGTATTATAAAATTTCGTAAACACTATTCCAGAAAATTTGAATTCAGCTAATTGCTAATTGTTCCATTGACAAATAAAACAGTAAGTGACTTAAAGAATTGTTTATGGTTCCTAAGCCACAAGGAAAAAAATACACACACATATTTATGTATTCTTTAACACTTTAAAAATAAACTTCAAAGACAAAGGTTTAGGGCAGAATAGTTTTAAGTTGACCTTTTATTTCCTCTCTTTTGAAATATTCTGATTCAGATTTTGACTGTGGAGAAAAGAATAACAAGAATGTTGGCAGAGGCATTTCATATCCGAATTTTAACATGATACTTAAAATTCTACCTATATTTGTTAAATGGTATTATTTCTTATGTAAAATGTAATCCACATTTATTAAGAGCTACATTTTAAGTGCTTTCCATGTTTGTATCTATTTAATCTTATGCACCTAATGGGGATGGTACTGGTATCCTCTTTTACAGATGGGGAGACTACAGCATGGTGGCATTTAGATAAGTCACCTACAATCCCACAGCTCACAAATTGGGAGGCAGGATTTGAACTTGGTGCCAGAGTATATGTTTAACCCTGACCATAAATGTTTGAGCATGCTGGTCTCCCCAGTAAGTAGCAAGCTGCCCAAGATACCAGACTTCTTTTCTTTTCAGAACTACTTCAATGATGCTGCTTGCAATGGCACTCAAAGTTGCTGACCAACCCCTAAAATAAGAATAATGCTGTCATAAAAGGCTATGAATTAAAGAAGTACCCTATAAAGAACAGAGATTTTAAAATATCTTCTTACTATTTGTAACGAAAATGGAAAACTTACAGTAATGACCTGCATTGAGATTTTGATATACTATGTTGAAGATTCATATCAAACTCATACTTACATATGATATTAACATATTTTGAGGATTCATATCAAAAACATGAGTTAGATATGAAATGAAACATAGATTTCTAAACCATTAAAACTACAGGTTTCATACCTTGGATAATGCTGCTACAGAAGCTATCTATCACAGTCCTAGGGGAGACCAGAGCAATAGTTTCCTTTGGGAATGTGGGTGATTCTTATACCCAAAAATCTTAAGTTTGTTTAAAATGTTACTTTTTTTTTTTTTTTTTTTTTTTTTTGAGACAGAGTCTCACTCTATCACCAGACGCCAGGCTGGAGTGCAATGGCGCGATCTCGGCTCACCGCAACCTCCGCCTCCTGGGTTCAGGCAATTCTCCTGCCTCAGCCTCCTGAGTAGCTGGGATTACAGGCATGCGCCACCACGCCCAGCTAATGTTTTGTATTTTTAGTAGAGATGGGGTTTCACCATGTTGACCAGGATGGTCTTGATCTCTTGACCTTGTGATCCACCCGCCTCGGGCTCCCAAAGTGCTGGGATTACAGGCGTGAGCCACCGCGCCCGGCCTTAAAATGTTACTCTTACAGAAAAAGATGCACCTCTGAATACCCTTTGATCTTAGCCAATCTTTTTAAAAAGTATACAAATATACTGATCTTTTAGAATTGTTCAATATTCAGTATTACTCAACAACAGGCCTTCCATAACAATTTATTTCCAATAAGATTTGGTCCCTTTAAAAGAAATCATTAGAAATAAACCAAAGTATAGGGAATAAGAAGGCCACCCAGCAACCCCCTACAATCAGTCATCCACAGTGGAGACACCAGTACCTGGTTTGTAGACAAGTGATTCACTGCAAAGCAAAAAATAAATCTTACAAGAACAGAATAAGCCACCTGAAACTCTTCTTTCCAAGATGGTCCCATTTAGGGGTCCACAGAATTAGTCCAGTTCTGCTGGAACAGTATGGATTCTAAAATGCCTAATAAGGTTGCAATGATGACTGAAGGCTTTTCCACACTCTTCACACTCATGGTCTCTCTCCAGTGTGGATTCTCTGATGTTTCAGGAGAAGTGCCTTCTTACTAAAGATTTTACTGCACTGACTGCACTGATACGGTTTCTCACCAGTGTGGACTCGGAGATGTTGGAAAAGCCCTGCATTCTGAATGAAGGCTTTGCCACACTGATTACACTGATAGCGCTTCTCTCCAGTGTGTATCCTCTGATGCTGAACAAGGCATGAGCTGAGGAGGAAGGCCTTTCCACACACTTTGCATTCATATGGTTTTTCCCCTGTGTGGATTCTTCTGTGTCTAGTGAGGCCATTGCTGGCACTGAAGGCTTTCCCACACTCCTTACATTGGTAGGGTTTCTCTCCAGTGTGGCTCCGCCGATGTTCATTCAAGCTTGACCTCCGGCTAAAAGCCTTCCCACATTCTTCACATTCGTATGGCTTCTCCCCAGTGTGGATTCTCCGGTGCTCAATGAGTACCGAACTCTTAGTGAAGCTTTTACCACATTCATTGCACCTGTGGCGTCTCTCTCCAGTGGAATGTTCCTGCTGCTTTTCTGCCCCGCTGTCTTGTTTACAAGTTTCTCTGTGCTTAGAATCCAAAGATAAATCTCTGTGGAGTCTGCTATCCCTCAAATGTTCTGTTTCTTTTAAGATTTCTTGCTTTGATGCCAACTTCTGGTTCTCAGGTATACTTTCACTATCTGGAATAATAAATGGACCAAACAATGTCATTTCTTTCCTTTATTAAAGAATATAATCATAGGATGGAAATAGAAAGGTCCATATCAAACAGACATGTGCTAGGAATGAAGAACTGGCAGTTAAGGAGGGGGTTGGGTTAAACAGGGATGTTCAGGCTAGTAAAGTAAGCAGTTACCAGCACTGTTGAAATGGCTGGAGGGAACACCCAGAGGCTCCCAGAGAGGATGTACATAAGCAGGCACTATATTATACTCACAACAAGGCAGGCACTGTTCTAAGTGTTTTACGTATGTTAACTTATTAAATACTCAAGTGATTCTGTAACTGATTCACTATGATTATCCTCACTTCAAATATGCATAAACTGAAGGCACAGGGCGGTTACCTGATTTGTCATTTGTCCATTATCACAGAGCTATTAAATAGTAGTATTTAAATCCCAACCCAGGTAATTTGGTCCCAGAGTCCACAGTCTTAACTATTACCCTGTATAGACCCACTAGATATTTCCTTAATGGACCTGTCAAAGTCTTTACCTTGTTCTCGAAATTGGTGGAGGTAAAAAGATTGACATTTGAGCTGTGTCATCATAGGCTGAACCTGGATGTCTGTTGGTTCCTGCTTGATCTTCAGATGTTCCACATCCTCTGAATGTCCACATTCTTGATCTGGATCCTGAAAGCAGCAGGCATATTTGCTTCATAAGAGGGGGATTATAGGAGTCCAAGCTCATACTAAATGAAGGACATCACATGGAACCATATGAAACGTTTTCTAGAGAACTGTCATAGAGGAAGGACCAGAGTTTAATTCCATACCCAAAAGCAAAACAGGGAAGAGTGGCCCACTCTAGTGTGGTGGTTTAAAATAAATCCATCAGGTAGAATCTAACTGCCCCCCTCCCCGCCCCCTGAATGCGAACTGAACTTGATAGCTCAACTCTACTGAATAGAAAGTGAGGCAGAAGAGATGGTATGTAACTTCTGAGTCGTAAAAAGCACTGTGGCTTTTTCCTTTCTCTCTCTTTCTCTCCTTCTACCCAAAAGAAGCCAGCTGACATGTGAGGGCACTGAAGCAGCCCTATGAAGCGCAGCAACATAGTAAAGAACTAAGACCTCCTGCCAACAGCCAGTGAGCAGCTGAGGCCCCCTAACAATCGTACCAGTGAACCACCTTGGAAGTGGATCCACCCACCTGAGTTGTGTCATCAGATGACTGTAGTCTTGGCCATTAAGGTTTAGGGATAATTTGTTACGCAGCAGAGAACTAATACATGTGGCCAACCCGTGTCACCAAACCCCATGTTTCATTTAGCATTTAATGTTTAGAAGTCTATCTTTTTCCTCTTACCTGGTTCCTTGGCTCACTAAGCTCTTTTTCCAAATCTTCAACTATAGCCACAGCCTCCTCCCCACTCTGCGGACGGTGCTCCCGTACCCAGGCCTGGAGCTCCTCAGGCAGGATGGTCAGGAACTGCTCTAGCACCAGCAGCTCCAAGATTTGCTCTTTGGTGTGGATTTCTGGCCTTAGCCACTGATGACAGAGTTCTCGGAGCTGGCTCAGAGCTTCTCGGGGACCAAGAGTCTCTTGATAACAGAACTGCCTAAAACGTTGTCGAGAGGCTTCTTGGCCAGAAAAGTTGTTCACTCGAAGGTAGGTTTCTTGGTCCCAGAAAGGGTCTTCTTCCACCTTCACAATCTTCAGTCCATACTGTTCCTCTGTTGAAGCCATTCCTGGGATTAATTTAAAAGGCTTACTCTGGCTTGAGGTGAAAGGATAACTGTGATTTAAAATTTTCTGATTTAAGCTTCCTTAGGAGAAGACACCTGATGATAGAGGATTATGTATTAATGGAAATAAATCATAAAGCAGTGGGGAAAAAAGCAAAGTATGGAAACATGAATGGTATTCTGTCATTTATGTTAATAAAACATATATATATATATTGACTTACATATGTTTAGCAACAGGGGGAAGGCTATGACAGAGTATGTTAATGGCCTCAATTCTTTGCCCTTCTCTATAGCCAGGTATTAATATTTTGCAGTGCCCTTCCATTGTGACGCTGGATTCAACAACATGACTTGATATGGCCAATGATACTAGCAAATGTGATGCATTCGCTGGTGTTGAATTAGTACTAAACTCTTAGTGAAGCTTTTCCTACATTCATTGCTCCTGTGGCGTCTCTCTCCAGTGTAATGTCCCTGCTGCTTTTCTGCCCTGCTGTCTTGTTTATAAGTTTCTCTGTATCCAGATACATCTCTTTAAAGTCTGCTATACCCAAAATGTTCCATTTCTTTTAAGATTTCTTGCTCTGATGCCAAGTCCTGGTTCTCAGGCATGCTTTCAACATCTCGAATAATAAATGGACCAACAATGTCATCTCTTTCCTTTATTAAATAATATAATCCGGTGGCTCAAGCCTGTAATCCCAGCACTTTGGGAGGCCGAGGCGGGTGGATCATGAGGTCGAGGGATCGAGACCATCCTGGTCAACATGGTGAAACCCCGTCTCTACTAAAAATACAAAAAATTAGCTGGGCATGGTGGCACGTGCCTGTAATCCCAGCTACTCAGGGGGCTGAGGCAGGAGAATTGCCTGAACCCAGGAGGCGGAGGTTGCGGTGAGCCGAGATCGCGCCATTGCACTCCAGCCTGGGTAACAAGAGTGAAACTCTGTCTAAAAAAAAAAATAATAATAATAATAATATAATCATAGGATAGAAATAGATCCACATCAAACAGACTTGTACTAGAAATGAAGAACTGGCAGTTAAGGAGGGGATTGGGTTTGAACAGTACTTGTGTGACTGGGCTTGCTTACTCTTGCCCTCTGAAACTGCCAGAAGAAGGATATCCCTCAGATGATAAGAGACATGCAGGACAGAACCAGATCACCCCAGTGGGGCAGATGAGACTATCCTCGAGTAGCTGACAGCCAGTTAACTACCAAACATGTAGGTCTAGCCTGAGATCTGCAGAGCCGCTGATGGCAGATGTATAAGTAGGGCCTGCCCACCCCAGGTAAGCTGTGCCCCATATACTCATATGCTAAACAAAAGTTTATCACTATATGCCACCAATGTTTTGTGGCTATTTATTGTACCATATGATTGTGGCAACAGATAACTAATGTACAAGGGTGAACCTCTGGGAAGGAGAATTAGGTTAACTGTGGAATAAAAAAAACAAGAGATACTTACTTTTTGACCACAGACATGATGCTAAAAGGAAATGCTCATTGGAGCATTTCATATTTCAGATTATCAGATTAGGGATGTTCAACTGTTAAGTATAACACAAATATTCCAAAATCCAGAAAAAGCTGAAAGCCAAAACACTCTGGTTTCAAGCATTTCATATAAGGGATATTCGGTCTGTAGAAGTGATTTGAAAGCCTGGTCAATATGTGTATATGGTAGCTCTAGGAGAACAGAATATATAAAACTAGCTATAATATCAAATGATGAATGCTATAATAGAAGCCTCAACAGAATATTCAGGGAGTTAAAAAAAGAAAAAAGAATTTCTGACTGGGTATAGAGCATTGAAAGAATATGACTTAGGGGCAAGTACATTTGAATTAGGCTAAAGTCATGAACAGGATTTTTTGAGGAAGAGAAAGGAAGGGATCTGGCATCATAAATCAAGCAAACAACATGAAGAAAGGAATTTACAGGCACACACAATAGCGATAAGGACAGGCAAAGCTGAACTGTAGAATATGGGATGTGGGTAAAAACGTGAGAGGAGATGAAGTTAGACAGATGTGTTATATGGGATAGAAAATGGCGTTCAACTCTAGGCTAAGACCTTAGACCTTATGGAAAACTGAGAGGCATTGAGGCTTTCATTTTATTGTCATAGTGTTCGATCTGTATTTTTAAAAAAATACTGAGTAAGATTCGGTATGGAAATGGTAAGAATATGTTGCAGGGTTGTGGCTGTTTAAGTTGGGAAGTTTAATGGTAGTTACACTGATACAATGTTGCTTTAGTGGTGTATGATTTTAGATGATTTTTGTCCAATGCTAATGGAATTATTAAGGTCTGAGAGCACTTGGAAGTTTTTCAGTTATACTTTATTGGGTGAAAATGCATTTATTCCATTCATTCAATTATTATGTGTCTATTAGGTGTCTGGAATAGTGTGAGGTGCTTAGTTCAAAACGGTGAAAGGTCCCTACCTTTATGGTATTTACAATGGGAAAGACATAATTCACATAAAATTATGTTACAGAATTAAGGATATGAAGAGTTAAAAAGATCATGGCATTTATTCTTTGTCAATGTCCAAGGCCAAATATTTTTCTTTTTACTCCTTACTGTAGCATCTGGTAATTGGGTTTGTTGTCTTCAGTGCAGGAAGACTGAAAGTCTGAAAATTTCTAATTATCAATTTGCATTGGATTCCATTATTATTAAACATGTAGCTTCTCATGGCCTTAGGTTTATAGGCAAAAACTGTTCTGCAAATATGGGTTCTGCACTTTAATGCTATTGAGAAACCATGGAGGTAGGGTAGGCTTTTTTTGTTTTGTTTTATTTTGTTTTGCTTTCTGGGTCACTACAGGCAATCTCTCACATGCACAAAGCCACAGGTGGAATATTCCTCCATCAGTTGTATTTTTCTCCCCACAATTGGTGCTTAGAATTTACCTCCTGGTCTTATACGTCATGAACTGTCTTTATCTCTAATGCCTAGAACAGTGCCTTTCAGTGCTCCATAAACATTTTCTGGATAAATAAATATATATTCTCCTACTATATTCCCCTTCACTTCCTCAAGCCATGGTAAGGACAGAGAAGGGAACATGGAAGGGAAAATATATTCTTTCTTCTTGTCCCCCAAACCACCCCTGTTCCCAGGATGTATATGCATTACCATATGTTCCCAGCCAGTCCTCCCACCTCTTCCCGTCTCCTCTCCCAAACTGCAACATATTACAGACACCACTTCTTCTTCTTCTTTTTTTTTTGAGATGGAGTTTTCGCTCTTGTTACCCAAGCTGGAGTGCAATGGCGCGATCTCGGCTCACCGCAACCTCCGCCTCCTGGGTTCAGGCAATTCTCCTGCCTCAGCCTCCTGAGTAGCTGGGATTACAGGCACGCGCCACTATGCCCAGCTAATTTTTTGTATTTTTAGTAGAGACGGGGTTTCACCATGTTGACCAGGATGGTCTCCATCTCTCGACCTCGTGATCTACCTGCGTCGGTCTCCCAAAGTGCTGGGATTACAGGCTTGAGCCACCGCGCCCGGCTACAGACACTTCTTATTTTTATTTATTTATTTATTTATTTATTTATTTATTTATTTTGAGACGGAGTTTCGCTCTTGTTACCCAGGCTGGAGTGCAATGGCGCGATCTCGGCTCACCGCAACCTCCGCCTCCTGGGTTCAGGCAATTCTCCTGTCTCAGCCTCCTGAGTAGCTCGGATTACAGGCATGTGCCACCATGCCCAGGTACTTTTTTGTATTTTTAATAGAGACGGGGTTTCACCATGTTGACCAGGATGGTCTCGATCTCTTGACCTCGTGATTCACCCGCCTCGGCCTCCCAAAGTGCTGGGATTACAGGCTTGAGCCACCGCGCCCGGCCGACACTTCTTATTTTTAAAATGCCTAGAAGACTTACAAATCTGGACTTGCCACAAAATTATGAATTCATCTTCATGTATTGTTTACCTGATTTATTCAATTATATGCAAATTTGGTATCATCTGATATCCTAGCAGGGAACAAGTACTTGGTAGACATTTGTTTTTTTTCTTTTTTTGAGATGGAGTTTCACTCTTGTTACCCAGGCTGGAGTGCAATGGCACCATCTCGGCTCACTGCAACCTCCGCACCCTGGGTTTAGGCAATTTTCCTGCCTCAGCCTCCTGAGTAGCTGGGATTACAGGCACGCACCGCCATGCCCTGCTAATTTTTTGTATTTTTTAGTAGAGACGGGGTTTCACCATGTTGACCAGGATGGTCTTGATCTCTTGACCTCATGATCCACCCGCCTCGGCCTCCCAAAGTGCTGGGATTACAGGCTTGAGGCACCACACCCGGCTTGACAGACATCTGATGAATTAAATGGAATGAACTATTTAAGATCATCTTTGGTGAAGCAGTGTAGTACAATGAATAATGTTCAAAACCTGTGGCCTCTCTAAAGTGATAATGACCATAGTACTTCTCTTATAGGTGTTGTGATTATATAAGGTAATGCATATAAAAAGCTTAGCACAGTACCTGGTTCACAGCAATTATTACATAAATATCAATAAGCAGGTATTATTAGTAAAGTAGTATTAGTAAATTGCCTATCTTCATTTCATAGCGGAAATTGACCCAACAAAATAAAATATTTACTTCATACGTTAATACTCAGTAGACAGTTGAAAATACTAGAAGAAATACTGAAGAAAATCCAGGACAGACTGTGCCCAGTGGTGACCTCCCAGTTGTGTGCTGAAGCCCATCTCTAGATGCCCTGAACATCCCAACAGCAGCTCAAAAGCAACACATTAAAGATTGGATTCAGATTTCCAGGGTGACATGATACAGGCCAATTTACGACTAATTACCAATTGACTCCAAGCATTTGGCATTGGGAGATGATATATAAAAGGGGATAAAGAGAACGACATGGTCAGTTACAAATACAAGACAAAAATCCCAGTGGACCAGAAACAGAGTAGTTAGTGGAGTTGATGCTGTGGGCTAACTGACTTGACTGAAGGAACAGTCAAAGACATCCTAGAATTCAGCTCCTGGGGGATTAAATGTGGTGTGTCTCAGGTTGTAGGGAACCAGGCTCACTGTTCCATGCCAGGCCTGCAGTGGACTTCCACGCTCATGAAAGGGGGACAGAATAATAAAAGGCAGTTGACAGCTGACTCAGCTTTTGACTTGATTAGCAACTTAGGCCCAGGAGACAAGGGGCAAGGAGAGACTCATTACTAGTAACTGACCCATTTATTCACTTATTTAGTCAATAAATGTTCATTGAGCAACCATAACATACCAGGTACTTGGCTAGGCACTAGGGCAATAGTGAAATAGACAAAACCAGGTGGAGCGTACATGTTAACAGAGAAGACATACTGAAAATAAGAGCAACAAGAAAAATAAGTAAGTAGGTAAATAAACTACGAGTTGTGATGATTACTAGGAGGAGAACAAAGGAGGCACTGAGTTACCAAATAAACGGACAGCCTGTTAAGAGGGGGTGGTGGAAGGTGAGGTGACATTTAAGCTGAGCCCTTAAGCGCAAAAGAAGTGAGCCATGCAGAGTAGGGATGAGGGAGGGGAATAGCACTCTGGACTATCCAAAGGCCCTTAAGAAGTGCATCCTGCCATCAAAGACAGGAAAGGAGGCTGGAATGTCTGCAGTCATGTGGGACAAGAGTGGCAAAATATTAGGCTGGCAAGACAAGCAGAAGTCAGATCATGTACAGCATAGGAGTTAGAATTGTATAAATGCAATAAGGAAACCACTGGAGGCTTTAAAGAAAGGAAGTGACAGGCTGAATTATGTATAGAGGAGCTCTGCTACTGGATGGAGAATGAGCTGAGGGAATGAGGGTAGAGGCAAGAGTGGAAGCAGAAATGCAAGAGTAGAAGCAGAAGAGTCAAGTGTTGACAAAAGGGTAAAGTGGAAGGTGTGAAGGCTATTGCAGTCAATCTGGAAAGACTTCCACTTAGTTTAGATGTTACTGTACAGAAGAAAGAAGAAACAGCTTAACCTTTGTAAAAACAGTGCAGTCACTGGACAATTTATGGAGCTGTGCTAAGAGTTGGGAACACACAGGTGTTTATAGCCCATGAGGACATAATTACAATACAATTAAATAAAAGCTATATTTTTAAAAATGTGTACAAGGTATACTCCTGGAGGAAGTGAGAGCTCATCCTAAATACAGGATTAAGTTTCTATGCATTACCTGTAATCCACAATGGAATTCATTTCACAGATATTTACTAAGTGTCTATTATGTGTCATACAGCAAAGAGTGAAACAATGCAGTTTGATGTGTCCCCATTGTCCTTCATTGAAACGAAAACATGGTAGAAACAGCATACAAGAGAATGTTTTCATTCATGTTAGCATAATTAGCAACAGCAACAAAGAGATCATGTAAATCATAAATCACCTGTGTTGTAAAATAAATCCCAAAGGATAACCAATTACAATGACAAAAAAATGAGGCAGAACTTAAATACCATGAGGAAACAGTCAAATACAGAAATGGGGATGCTCTGTAGGATGACTGGAGGAGCCTCCTTTTCAACAAGGCAATCTGATGGGCGGAAGGGAGGCAAAGGGTAAAACTGCTCTAGATTAAGACTTATAACTACATGCAGTGAGTGGTCTATGATTGGATCCTAGTTGGTACAAATAGGTGTAAAAGACATCTGTGGGGCAACAGGAGGTGGAGGGATTTAAACATAAACTAGGTGTTAGGTGAAGCCCCTACACTTAATTGGGTGTGCTAATAATATCGTGGTTATGTACGGAAATGTCCTTAATTTTTAGAGATACATTAGAAACTAGAGGTGACAAGTTATGATGTCTGTGATTTATTTTACAATATTTAAAGAACATTATATGCGATAAACATTGCATAATGCTGACTTGTTAAATAAATGTTATGAGTATTTAGGAAATAAGGCTTTTGACAGGGATCGAGATGCATCCCTTCTCTACCGCTCGACCTCGGTTTCCACCTCAAAGCTCTACCATCTGTAGGGGTCTCTCCCACCACCCTGTGGAAGGACTTTGTTAGCTTGCCTTAGATAGATAGCTAAGATGGGGAGGGGGTAGGGGAGAGAGCCTGCCCCCGCCCATGGGTCCGTGCCTCATTCCCACGTAACATAAAACGCAGCCTGGGAAAAAAATTCAGGCTACAGGCACCGATAAGCGAACTAGCACAGGGTGTTGTGCCTAGAGATATGCCCAGCTGCACAGATAACGAAAACATCCGGCCCATTTGGATAAAAACTTGCACATAGCCTCCAGTTCACTCAAATAAGGGAACAAGCCTTGGCACAGAAACGCCTTTGTCCTTTGTACAGTCAGCAGGTTCCCAGGAAAAGTTTCTTCTCCTTTTGTGGGCAGGGGCACGGTGGGCGCTGTACTGTCCTTTATTAGGTCTATAAGCCCGGGTTCTGTGATTCATGACCTCAGCTCCTGATTAATCCGGGGCCAAACTTTCACTTCAGCTTCTGATAGGTCCTGGGCCAAGCTAAGCAGCATCTATGAATCATCATTTCTGCTCCTGATTGGTTCCCGGGTCAGAGTGAATCAAGCGTTCGCCAAGACAGCCCGCGGACTAAGCACATTCCTTCTTTCCAGGCCACAAAAACCCCAGAACTGGCCCCACAGTGGGTACTCCCGGTCGGGAGCCCGTCTCTGCTGGCAAAGATTTTTCTCCTTTCGCCTATTAAACTTTCGCTCTAACCTCACCTTTGTGTCCGCGCTCCTTAATCGTCTTGGAGGTGGGACAAAAAACTCCGAGCCTTATCTAAGAAAAGGAAAGACTGTTTCACCCGACTCCACTGGGGCTTCCGGCCGGTCACAGTGTAGGGGCGGGGCCGCGCCTGCGCAGACGTTCCCTCTCGGTCCACTCTTAGGCGCAGACCGGAAATCTTCCCGGTACCGGCGGCTTCCAACCGGGGACCGAGACTCACCTTCCGGGCACCGGGAAGCTACGGAACAGGTTTCCGGGTTGCAGCACCCAATGACTACCGCAAAGGCCGGAAGTGCGTCAGCCGTTCTGAGCCCAGTGGCTCAAGCCAGGCAACTCTTTCCTTTCTAGGAATTCCTGAGGTGGTTGCATCCTGGTGACTCCTTTATTGCATACCCGGGGCCAGAAATCCCAGCCCCACTGGGTGCGAGGTGAAGAAATGCAGCGAGGGATTTCTGCGGGGAGCGCCCCCCAGCCTTTAGGAGTGAGATGGTCGTAGAGACGCAGAACAGAGCAGGAAGGTGTTAGGAAGATATAAAGGAAGAGAGAGCGAGAAACAGGAGGTAACTCCACGGCCAAACAGGTTTATTTACAGGAGTAAGTCTGCGAAGAATCCCGGTCAGCTAGATTCCCCCGATCGCTTACAGGCTGAGGCTTTTATAACGAAGTTTCTGTTGGGGAGGGGTTGGGGAAGTGCTGGCTGGTTGGGACTGTCTGGGGACTTTACAATTTGAGACAGATGTGATTTGGGCCTTTAGGCTCTGTTGCGGTTAGGGCCGTTCTGCTCCCTCGAAGCTGTGGGTGGGGCTGGCATTTGCTTTGTTTCTTGAGAACACAGTCATCAAGGTTGTAAAATGGCATCACTATTGTTCATCCTCACAGAAGGAACTTGATAACGTTTTCTCCCTCTAATACTTATCTATTCTTCCCCGAGTCTGTCCGCTTCCTCTGGTCTCTTTGACATCACAATGGGGAGGTGGTAATGGTGGGGACGAGAATACAGAGTTGTGTTTGTTGTAGTTTTGTTAGTTTTTTACTCTCAAACCTCTGCCTTCTGGAATCTCAACGTCTAGAAGGACATGTAAACAAGTAACTAGGTAAAATTGACTGGCATGTGAAATGAAGTAAAATAAAATGAGTGCTTGTAAATCGATGAGAATAGTCTCTGGAACATAGAAAATGCTAAGTACATATGCAAAAAATAGCCGGGCGCGGTGGCTCAAGCCTGTAATCCCAGCACTTTGGGAGGCCGAGGCGGGTGGATCACAAGCTCGAGAGATCGAGACCATCCTGGTGAACATGGTGAAACCCCGTCTCTACTAAAAATACAAAAAATTAGCTGGGCACGGTAGCACGTGCCTGTAATCCCAGCTACTTAGGAGGCTGAGGCAGGAGAATTGCTTGAACCCAGAAGGCGGAGGTTGCAGTGAGCGGAGATCGCGCCATTGCACTCCAGCCTGGGTAACAAGAATGAAACTCCGTCTCAATAAATAAATAAATAAATGTATGTATGTATTAGATTGAATTCGTGGCATGGAAGATAGAAGAGGAAAACTAATGGGGCAAAACAAGAAGCAGCAGAAGTCTGCCAGTGTGCACGGGAAAAGGAGCAAAGGAAAGAAATTTCTGGGAGAGGGAATCAAATGTACAAAAGCAGTACTGAGTTGAGACTGGTACATCCAAAGAACTGGGCTAATCAGCATGACTGGTGAGTGGAATATGTGGCAGAGGCACCAGCTCTTACTTTTTTTGGATCCCTAACCAAGGAATTTGAGCAGTCTGATCAAATTTGCCTCTAGAAATGCTATCTTGGCAGCCATGTGGGGATGAACTGTAAGGAAATGAGACTACAGGCAGGGAGAGCAGCTAGGAGACTACTACAAGAATCCAGGGTAGAGATAGTGAGAGACCGAATCAAGGCAGTAGCAATAGAAATAGAGAAGACAGATAACACATTAAGTATTAAGAGGTTGAATTGTTTTTTTACAACTCATTCATTATACAGATTCCCATTGAATCCAATTTTTGTGCCAAAGGTTTGCTGGATGTAGTAATTATGAAGAGCACAAGGTCCTCACCCTCATGGGGTTTATAATATAAAGAGGAATACAGTCATAAGGAGATCCAGCTTATACAATTCAAGAGACCCTATTTGAGAAAAGGATTTCAAAATTACAAGTACAAATATAGGTATGAAAATGGAGATTTAGGTCAGGTGTGGTGGCTCACGCCTGTAATCCCAACACTTTGAGAGGCCAGGGTGGGAGGATCTCTTGAGTCCAGGAGTTTAAGACCAGCCTGGACAACATAGTAAGACTTTGTCTCTACAAAAAATAAAAAATATTAGCCAGGCACAGTGACTCATGCTATTAGTCTCACTGCTGGGGAGGCTGAGGAGGGAGAATCGGTGGCTGCAGTAGCCATGATCGTGCCACTGCACTCCAGCCTGAGTGACAGAGTGAAACCCTCTCTCCAAAAAAAAAAAAAAAAAAAAAAAAAAAGGGAAAAAGGAGAAAAATGAAAATTGAGATTTAGAATGGAAAATGGGCTGGGCATGGTGGCTCATGCCTGTAATCCTGGCACATGAGGATGCTGAGGCAGGCAGATTGCATGAGCTCAGGAGTTCAACACCAGCCTGGGCAACATGGCAAAACCCCATCTCTACCAAAAATACAAAAATTAGCCAGGCATGGTAGCCCATGCCTGTGGTCCTGGGTACTTGAAAGGCTGAGGTGGGAGGATTAAAGAGCCGGGGAGGCAGAGGTTGCAATGAGCTGAGATTATGGTACTGCACTCCAGCCTGGGTGGCAGTGTGAGACCCCATCTCAAAAAAAAAAAAAAAAAAATGAATGAAAAATTACTTATTACAGTTTTTTTTTTGTTTTTTGTTTTTTTTTTTAAATGCAGGGTCTTGTTCTGTCACCCAAGCTGGGGTGCAGTGGTGTGATGATAGATGTCTACAACCTCAAACTCCTGGGCTCAGGCAATCCTCCTGCTTCTGTGTCCCAAAGTGCTGGGATTACAGTTGTGAGCCGCTGCCACCACACCTGGCCATACTACATATTTTAAAGTCTTCCAAACATCACAAACAAAAATCAGAAAAATAGCAAAATATTTTCATTATTTAACTGCCTGACACCTCCACAGTGACTTGGTCCCCTTATTTATTGGCTTTATGTTCTTGGACTGCTTCTTTGTATGTTCATTTCATAATTGAAATTTTTCTAGAACGAGTAAAAAGTTAATGTAGGCTTTCCTCTAGCATGGTTGATCAAAAGCTTTTTAAAATTATTGACATAGGAGTAAACTTCTATCAAGTTTCTTTCAATTATGAGCTATAAGATTTCAGGACATTAAAATTTGCATGTAGGGACTACTCTGAGAATCTCTGTGTTGATGACACATTAACTAGCTGGTCTTAGATGTCCTCATTGTCAATGGCATATTATGTTGTCTTTGTCAATATCAGTATTTTTTTTTTTTTTTTGAGACGGAGTTTGGCTCTTGCTACTCAGGCTGGAGTGCAATGGCGCGATCTCGGCTCACCGCAACCTCCGCCTCCTGGGTTCAGGCAATTCTCCTGCCTCAGCCTCCTGAGTAGTTGGGATTACAGGCATGTGCCACCATGCCCAGCTAATTTTTGTATTTTTAGTAGAGACGGGGTTTCACCATGTTGACCAGGATGGTCTCAAACTCTTGACTTCGTGATCCACCCGCCTCGGCCTCCCAAAGTGCTGGGATTACAGGCTTGAGCCACCGCGCCCGGTACAATATCAATATTTTATGTAAAATGTACAAGAAATTTAAATCTCTTTTCATTGTGTTCAGTTATTCACTTTTCTTCACTATTTAGATAATTGACCAAGAGCTTATTTTTTATTGTATTCAAAGTTTAGTTCTTTTTCTTAGAATAATTTCCATTGATTTTATTAGCTTTATTGCTTTTGTTTCTCACATTCCATTAATTTTTTTTTTTTTTCCCCCCAGTGGGAAGGGTAGGAGTCTTGTTCTCTTTCCCAGGATGGAGTATGGTGACTCCATCTTGGCTTACTGCATCCTCTGCCTCCCAGGTTCAAGCAGTTCTCGTGCCTCGAGTAGCTTAGATTAGAGGTGTGTGCCACCATGCCCGGCTAATTTTGTATTTTTATTAGAGATGGGGTTTTGCCATGTTCGCCAGGCTGGTCTTGAACTCCTGACCTCAGGTGATCTGCCCACCTTGGCCTCCCAATGTGCTGGGATTATAGGCGTGAACCAACACACCCAGCCTCCATTAATTTTTAAATTTAAATTTGCTCTCAGTTCTTTAATAATTTTATTTTGTAATTTAGCTTTATTGCTTAAATCATACCAAAATATCTTTTCAAATTGCAGTTAAAGTGACTTATTTCTAAGATAGTGTCCCCTTACCAGATGGTAAAATTCCCTGTTGCTATTTCAGTGCCACTCAGTCAGAGAAAAATAAGAGATGGGGAATCAGAAATGAAAACAAACAAACAAACAAAACAGTGGTTTAAACACCTGTTGCTAAAATATCCATTTTTTTCCCTTCAAATTTTACAAGCATATGAACCATGTAAAACACATTGCTAGGTATCATACCAGGCCAGGGTATCTGAAGAAACGTGCAAGTGTAGAATCACTTATGCTTTACAGACCTAACAGTAAACCCACTTCTGAATAAATAAGTGCTGCAGTTGAAATATATTGGAATCCGATGACCATTACAGTAATTACAATACCCATCTTTAATTTATCACAGCCTAATTTGAAATAATATTGTATCACTTCACATTTTAGTCTTAATTTCACATTTAATACTTTACATTTCAAATAGAGACATAAACTTACAACACTATTATTTCTTTGCTCTTGCCCATTGATATGGTTTGGCTGTGTCCCCAACCAAATCTCATCTTGAATTGTAGTTCCCATAATCCCCACATGTGGTGGGAGGGGCCCAAGTGGGAGGTAATTGAATGATCGGGGCAGTTTTCCAAATACTATTCTCATGATACTAAGGTCTCACCAAATCTGAGGTTTTATAAGGGGCTTCCCCCTTCACTCTGTTCTCTTCTTCTCTCTCCTGCCGCCATGTGAAGAAGATGTTGCTTCCACTTTCACCATCATTGTAAGTTTCCTGAGACCTCCCCCACCATGCAGAATTGAGTCAATTAAACCTCTTTTCTTTATAAATTACCCACTCTTGGGTATTTCTTCATAGCAGCATGAGAAAAAACTAAGTAAATTGGCACTGGAAATAGTGGGGTGCTGCTGTGAAGATACCTGAAAATTTGGAAGTGACTTTGGAACTAGGTAACAGGTAGAGGTTGGAACAGTTTGGAGGGCTCATAAGAAGAGAGGAAAATGTGGGAAAGTTTGGAACTTCCTAGAGACTTGTTTAATGGCTTTGACCAAATTGTTGATAGTGACATGGACAATGAAGGCCAGGGTGAGATGCTCTCAGATGGAGCTGAGGAACTCTTTAGGAACTAGAATAAAGGTCACTCTATGCAAAGAGGCTGGTGGCATTTTGCCCTGCCCTTGATATCTGTGGAACTTTGAA